CCACTGAGTGATGCCACTGACCAGCCAATTGGTGGCACGCACTCTGGGTATGATGTCATATTTTAGTACCTGCTTGAATTGCTTGGAACCCCAGCTGAGCAGTTACTATTCTGCTATTCTGTTTTATATAACTGGTCTGCAAGATAATTTCATATGTCAGCTATAAATGACTCTTTGGTATTTGCATGTAACTGGCCTGCATGATATGCCCATGGAAGTAAAGTCCCACATGGATTCTCAGCAGGGCTGAAGATTCAGCTCCCACATACAGTTCAGTATTGAATATTACATAAAATAAACTCTATTAAAAGTGTCTTTGAATGGCAGATATGCAGAAATGTGTGCATTTCGCAAAGAGCCATGGCTTAGTGTCTGAGAGTCTAAATGAGTCTCATAGGACTGAAAGTGCACTAGAAGCCAATTATAAATATCACTTATAATTCTTAACTTTGATCTGATGCTCACCACAAACAGGCACCAGCAGAAATTTTGGACTTTGGACAGCAAATTTCAGGACAATTATGACATAATCTTTCAGAAAACGAGCTTAAAAATACCAAGTCACTTAAAATATTAATTGACTCAGATGACTCTCTGTCAAGTTTCTGTAAACTGATTCTGAGAATCAACTTTGCTGCCCTTTGAAATCAGTGGAGGATAACAGCACTGTGGTTGCAGGTAAGTATTTCTAATAATCGCCAAACTGCCTATAATTATTATTTTTTATTATTTTAATTATTTGGTCTTTTGCAGAATGATACCTAGACCTTTGTCATATCAGATAAAGAAAAGCAGATGTTTGTAAAATAGCTGAAATAATTAAGTGATTATCAAAACATGCATTGTCTTCCACCAATCATCCCTCTTGATAAAAGACAGCACATTAAATGTTGTTACAGAAAGTATAACCGGTATAATGGGAAGCTTCTGAAAGTCAGGGGTGTTGAGTGTTTAAGTGTGTGCGGGTTGCAAAAACAATGAAAAACCTGTCAAATCCTCTCTTACAGTGACACGCAGCTTGTTCTGCTACATGCTCTTGTTTGGTGACGTACCACAAACTTGGACAGTCTTTCCAGTTGTTTTGCAATTTCGATGTGAGCTCATGCTTTAACGGTAACGGCAAAACCTGATGAATGACTTCTTTGTAGCTGCACAAACGTATGATGGATATTTCCCAAACTCTGATTTCGACAGACTTACGCGCTCTAAGAATCAGTGTCCCACTGTGTCATGCTATCACGACTGCTGCAGATGCACTAGATACTGTTAAATTAATAGTTAACCTGACCTTGGTTCTTACTGCAGTAAGCCTTGATGTGGGTATTTACGTTTTCGTGATCAGACTGTATGACACAACTGTATGGCTGTTATACTCACTGCTGTACCTCTCTCAACTTCCTCCATATATGCTGACAACTATTTCAATCAGAAATTTCACATTTGGATACATCACTCCATCAGACCTGTTGTCACTGATTTTTGAGTCCAGTTCTTTTGGCATCCCTCAGCCTTTCGTCCCAGTGACCGTTCGAGTGAAATCATTTCTGATGATGCTTCAGTGAAAAGTAGATGAATCAACCAAAGGGCCAGACACATCACTCAGGTCTGGCATCTAGATTTCTTCCCCCTGTGTCTTAAGGACTTAAAGACTACTAGGTGTCTTCTGTAGACAGGTTTTCTGCTATTAGCCTTTACTTGTTCAGTGTGTTTAAGAAAGCCAGTACTTGTCCTTAACTGTAAAATCAATAAAAAAAAGTAGTAAGGTGTCCAAAACAGCTGTTTCCAGCATATGTAGGATACATTTACATCCGTAAATGTTTGGAAAGTGACATGAAGTTGTAACTTTACTTGGTACACCATCACTGTGAATTTGAAATCAAACGATATGTTATTGAAGTCAAAGTTTCCACTCAAAAGTAATTGTACAAACTATGATTTAAGGCACAACAAAGAAGGGAAAAAAGTATTTGTACATATGTTATGTGGGGTGGCTGTAGCTCAGGAGGTAGAGAAGGTAATCTACTGACTGGAACGTTGGCAGTTTGATCCGTTAGCTGCTTTGATCTATATGGCAAATATCATTGAGCAAGATCCTTTTAAGAGTAAAACAACTGAACACAAACAGACAATTCCTGGAAGTAAAAACACTGGCATAGAATAAATGTGTCATTCACTGTAATGAGTGAGAGAATGAAGTGTGCTAGCTACTATTGCTACTACTATTTCACTTTGTAAAATGAGTCAATCAAAAATTGTATAGGACTAATGACAGCAATAAATATTGAAATGTATCCCTGTCTATTTTTAAGAACCTTGACAGCGTCACACTGTAAGAGGATGATGAGGTTTTCTTAACAGAGGATACTGTTATCCTCTGCATCTCACTGGGATGCTATGGTTTGCTTGAGTCACTAATAAACATATCATATTCTTATTTTCATGCTTTCTCTGAATATCCAGTCTACAAAGCTGTATCCACTAAGAGAGAACCTGGAATACGTGTTTCGTTTTGCAATATAATAAAAGAATTTCCCTAATACCCACATTCATTGGACTATGTTTCTGTGCAATTTACTGATGTTCCCTATGCAGTCAATCATGAAGTTACTATATGGAAAGCAAGACAGTAAATACATTCAATGACTGCATGTGAGTGTGTTTTAGTGTGTCTGTGTGTGCGAGATGTTGCTCTGAAAACATGAAGGAGTGAAGCCATTTGTCACAGGTTCCCAAAGACGAGCAAAAGTTTCAATGATAAAACATTTGGATTTGGTAGACAGACAGCCGCTCTACTTTTAAGATTAGGCTTAAAACTTCTCTTTTAATAAAGCTTAGAGTTAAGGCTGGATCAGGTGGCCCTCAATCCTTCCTTGGCATCATGGGCTGTCCTGTCCCCTCCCTGATGGACAGTTGTTAATCCTGCTGCCTCAGCAGAGCAACAAACACTATCGAGGACAGCTCCCACCCTGGTGTTGACCTGTTCAACCTGCTTCACCCAATCCAAGGACCTCCCTCTATACATACACTAAACTACCATAACTACTGTGCAATACTTAATTAATGGTAAATATATAACACTTTTTTCCCGATGTTTGAATATTTGTTATTTTTGAATACTGTTCATCTGTATATAGTGCTGCATAACTATGGACTTCACTCTTCTTTCTTTCTAACATGTCTGCGCAGAGTAGGAGATGCTCTGTGTATACCATTGTATATGTTTATAGTGACAATAAAAAGCATTCTATTCTATTCTATTTACTCTGCAATAGGTCAAGGCTGCTGGGGGATTTCCATGACGCATTGTTTCTTCACTCACCTTTTTCACTCGCTGCGTGTTTTTACGCCTCTCTTTACGCATTTAATCATTGGTTATTCACCTCTGCCTCTCTTTCACCGTGTCTTTGTCCTGTTTTCATCCACTCACCCCCAACGGCAGTAAGTGGCATTTTTGCTGGTCTAGTTCATAAGATCTGCTGCAGACCTCGGAGAAAATAATAATCATCGCTTATAAGAACTCACAAATGTCACCGAGTTCCTTAAGGGAAATTGCCAGAATTCTCGGAATGGACGTGAAGGCTTAA